GGCCTCCAAATACCCAGAGATGAAGTTCTGTCCCACAATTTCCTGTACTGAAGTTGTTTCAATCCTGCTAAAAACACAGGGCAGTCTCTCCTTTATCACTTCTTACTGGAGTTCAAAACAAGAAATGCAAAGTTTTATGTTTGACACAAGTTGAAAAAAAAAAAAAATGTTGGAACTAGACATCATAAGAAGTAAAATTTTGACAGTATTTTGGGACCTCTTTTAGAACAACCCCCATCGCTACCCCCAAAGCTGACCATCTCACTTTTAGAACAGGATAACGACTACATTCGCACTTTAGGTCACACTTGACAATCAGAACAAAATAAAACTATTAAACTGAAATTATTTTCCTTTCATAGGGAGCCATTGAACCAGAGATGTTACTTGGGCATTTAACACAGGAAATACAATGAAATGAAGATAGATATTGACCTGCATTAATCTACCCAGATATAAAACACTCCTAAGGACAGATAGCGTAAAAAATGACAAAAAATGACTGTGTACTCTGTAACCTCCTTTAAAATGGGGTCCCTCTATCAAGGGTCTTAAATACAGCTGTAGAATCTACAAATGTCAGCTTATTCCCGATTTCAAGAAAAGACACTTGTTTGCTTACAGATTCCAGCCAGCCAGAGCATCCACACTCATAGATCTCTTCCTGACTTAGGCTTAAACACTCATGAATGAGCACGATTCAAAGTCCCGTGGGAAGAGTAGGACAGCTCCCACGTTTAACAGTTACTGCTCCAAACTGTCTGCAGCTTGTCTGCTGCATCAGTTTGTTTTTTCCTGCAAGCATGGCCTTTTTTTAACTGCAAGCTGGGATTCTGAAAAATAAGATGACAGTATGAGAAAAGTAGGATATTTTGGGAAAAATCTAAGTCTAAAATTGCAGTAAAGCTGTGAGCCAGAGAACTACGTTGGCAGATTTTATTTGAAATGAAATTTCCAATAAGAAAATGCTTCATCCCAGCTGACAGAATCAGATCTTTCTAGGAAGTTCTGTTAATTAAAAGTAACAAAGCAAGTATTTGATTGAAAACGCATGAGTTTGAAAAAATGAATAACAGAACAAATTCAAAATTTTGAGAAATGTGGTTTGTAGGACATACACAAAGATTTCACAGCTGATGATGACACCCAAAGCAATAATCCAGAAATCAAATACAACTGCAGAAAATACATGCATTTTTATAGTCGATGATAACACTTTCTACCAGCAAGTGCATCTTGAGATTAAAGGCAGGAAAAAAGTGTTCACTGCATGAAGGAGAAAGGAAATGTCGTATCTTCTCCAAGCTGACATCTTCAACATGTCTGCCCTAATTTTTAACGCATTCTGATGGCCCAGAGACAGTTTACATGCTTACATCTTCAAAAACATAAAATGTGGGAAAAATTATACCAAGCAAAGACCTGTCATGGCACTGCTAGATGCCTGAAGTCTGTCTCAAGTTCATTCATATCCTTTTAGCCATTTGACAAATCTGCCTATCTGAAAAACTATTGTCTAAAATATCCAGGCAAATTAAAATAAAAGCATTTTTATATTTCATCACATATGACAAATATTCTTACTTTATTGATGTATTCTGTGGAACTTCAAAGGAGATAAGCCGGCCTCCAGCAGAGGTATTGGAACTGGCATTTCCACAAGCCACATCTGGGGTTATCTGAAAATAAAAATATAGTTTTATTTAACACTAAACCAGAAAATCTGACCAAAGAAAACATGAAAGTTTTTTTTAAAAAATATTCCACACTAATATTGCAGCAGTCATCTTTTAAAAGTCATCAGGATGGACCAAAGCATTCACCAAAATGTTTACACTATTAACAAACATTCTGAAAATTCACATAACCATCCTCATAGGTTTTTTTTTTTAACAAAAACTTCCTGCACATAAGTGTGCTCTTCTGAAGGCATCTTCCTTTAAAAGTGATCACGTTTAGAAAAAGATGAATAGGCTTCTGGTCTTTTAAAATAATAAATAAAGCTCCAACATTTGCCACATCCATGAAATACTGCATCATGGATTTAGGTGATCTTGGAGGACTTACAATAGCAAATACTGATATTGTCTTTCTACGATATTGAAAAATGTTTTTTTCTAAACACAGATTACTTAAAAAAAAAATACTCTCCCACTTGCCCATTACTATTCTTTCCAAGTAAAAGTTGCTTAGACAAAGAGCACCTTCAGATGGAAAAAATTATGAGCACAGTTGAGAGTGAAAGGAATTATTTGCAAATTCTGTGATGTCTCGTACGCATAGAAATCAGTTGCTATATTAACAAGATCAAGACACCATACAGGATGCCATACAACACAGCAGAACCACAGACAAGACTCTTTAATTATTCATATCTTGTAAAGTAGTAATTTCATAAAGGCAGTTTGAAAACCATTACCATTTCCAATGATAAATTTATTTCAAATAAGTAATATTTTATGTGGCATAACTGAGTCTATCGCCTACATTAATATCATCTGTAATTTTAATTAAGTAGTTCCCAGGTATCTTCATCAGCTTGCCTATGAAATATCACACTGTAAAAAAAAAAAAGTCAGTTTCATCTTCAAATTGCTAGGCAGATTTTGCAATGTCATTTTTTCAGTCATCTAGAAAACGTGTGCAACCTTTTTACATCATCCTTACTGACAAAGCAAAAATACAACCTGACACACTCCCATGAATTAATCACCCATCAAAGAAAAAGCCAGAATCTAATTTGTAAGTTTAAGTAAAATTCAAATTCATATTTCAAACATTACTATGAAACACCCGTGAAAACATGAACAACAGAAGTCCAGCATACGATAATTTTTAGGATATGCAGAGTTGATTTTGACTCAGGCAAGACAAAATCAGTATTCACATTTCCCAAAAATATCTAGATTACTTGATTCATTTTTTAATTCTCTAGCACATGTAATATGAATACATGTAGTTTATGAAATTAAAATGAGATGCAATTTTTTTGTATTTGTTCAAATTTTGAAAAAGAGAATATATTCATTACAATTTTTGAATTGTGGAAGTCAAAATTATGGAGCTAACATTCAAAGCACGATGAATCCAAAATTAGTTTGGCTAACACTCTTCTTATTATATTTGCCAACATTTAAATTTTTATTTCCTTTGAGAATCTGCATGCCTACTGGAACAAAGGAGAAAAAAAAAGATCAACATCTCTGTTCTCACAAAGTCTTTTACTACATCTAAAAATACATTCATTTTTAAAGCATTTATAGAGTTTTACAACATCATGCATCTATTACCTGGAACACAAGTGGAAAAAACATAATTTAAGCATTTCATTTATCTTACTATTCAATATTAGAAGTTTGTAGAGTAAAGAGCATTGATCTCTGAAACTAGAATAAGAAAACAACAAAAAATTAAAGAAGTAAGAGCTGAAAAAAGTGGCTGCATAACAACAACTGAAGTTTAACCTTGTGAAAATGGAAAAAACAAATCAAGACTGCTTTGGTTTGCAAACACATCAGAATTAAGGATTACTTAGCATGAAAAGCATATATAGGAAATATTTCAATGGTACTCAGAAGAGTGAAAGGCAAAATGCAGGATTTTGACTCTTCTATTAAGAGATCTGTAATGTTTGATGTCTTTCTCTAGGAACTCCATTTGTAATTGGCCCTGACTTCATGCTCCACAAATCTGATAAAATAATCATCTAAACTAGTAGGATACTAAACCCAGGATTTTACAACAGCTAAAATCTGATATTTTTTTTTTAATATTAAAAAACCTGGTACTTAGATCAGAAAAAAAAAAATCACGAGAAGCAGCAGCAGCTCTCATAAGGTACAAAAAATGGTTTCAGCAGCATCCTATTTCAGACAAAGACTATGGAGACAAAAATGACAGCTTTGACACCTGAATTAGGAAACGAATTACACAGTTTTGCCACAGCTGTGAGAAATTAGTATAAAAATTTTAAAGTATGTCTCTTTCCTGTCTTAACAGAGCTCTCTGCAAAACTGAAAGACTGAAGAATGAGGGCAAGGACAACCCATACAGTATAATAAGAAAGGACACTCAGAAGATGAAAACAATTTGTAAGTCTCACACTCCAGGAAAAAGGTGGGGGGGTGGGGGGGGAAGCTGCTAGAACTGGTAGGGGATATTTAAAACAGAACTCACTGTAATATATGGAATACATATTTAAATGATTTTCAGAAGGTAAAATAAAGAGCATTCCTAATCTAATTCCTCTTTAAAATTTAAAAAGTGAGATGGCTAAAGTAAAAAATACAAACAAGCCATTTAAAGTCATTTAAAGACAATCTTAAGAAAAATAACTGCAATGACATCAAACCTCCAAAATTCCTCTGAAGCATTCTATAGCACAAACCCTTTAAGGCAGCAAGAAAGCTTCTTGGGGATCAAACTTATAGAAAAAACACAAATGATGCAGCTACTTTAAAAATAGTCACCAAAGAAAACAAAATCGTCATGCACCTGCCAGAGCCTAAAGTATGTTTAGGAGCTGCTTACAAAGATAAGCTCCTACATTAGCACAGAATATACTGAAGAGCTGTTCTTCAATATATTACTTCGAATTTAAAATGCTTAAATATCAAATTGCTGATAGGAAATATTGAATTCCTATTTACATGCACGTTCCATAACTTTCTATCTAAATCATGCTCTTGTTTTTTTAAAAAGAACATAAAAAACCTACATTTGTGTCTCAAATGTTTTAACAGTGTTAACTTTCTGAGTCCTTACGTGGGTAAAAGAGCAGCATCATTTGAGAAAGCAAGAGTGAAGTCTCCAGAAGAGTACCTATTCCTAGAATCTCTACCTGGACCTCAACAAGATAGCAGTGACTTGACCAGAAGATTACTTTACCAGGCCATAGCAGTAGTATAGATGAAATTGCAAAGGAAATCAGGTGTGGTACCTAAGAAGAGAGCAACCGACTGTTCTTCTGTATAAAAACTTTTCTGAAAAAATTAAATAGTATGAATTTTACAGATGCTCTTCTTAACACAGCAGCCAGAATAGAGATATACATATTTAATTCAACAAGTGCTAAAATACAGACATAGATCCCAAGGCAATATTTTAATATGAGTGTCCTTATTACTTTGGTAAGTTAAGTGTACTAGCCTTTAATTCAATGAGGCTACGAAAAGTAACATACAGACTCTAAGTCTACATTTATGCTAGGATACACATACGTAGCCTCTCACTACTGAAATTAGTTGTCTGAAGATATTTGTTGTATGTGAAATTTCACAGTATGTTTCTTGGAAAGCTGACCAGACGTTTGTAATTCCTCAAGGCCTTATCAGCACTGGCAGACTAATCTTAGACAGTGCAAAATACAGCCATTCTGCTACCATGATACATGTTTGCATTTCTTTTGTATCTCAGCCCCTTGAGTTTCAAGAATTGCAGATGGCTTTTACTTCTTGCAAAACATGCCACACTTTCGTCAAACTTAAAAGTGGTCTCTAAGCAGAATGATTAAATTCACATTGGCCTTAGCAATTCTGCACTAACCTATTAAGAAGATATTAATGTATATTTCTGTAAACTAACAGATAACTTCCAAACACTGGAAGAGGCTGCTCAGGTATCTAGTGGACTCTTCATCCTTGAAGGTATTTAAAACTCAGCTAAAGACAGTTCTGAGCAACCTCCTATATTTGACCCTGCTTTGAGCAAGGGGGTTGGAGTAGACAATCTCCAGAGGTCCCTTCCAACCTCACCTACACTGTCATTCTGTGGGTAAAAATTAACGCCATGAGCCAGTTGCCTACTAAGTCTTTCCTGCAAATTGCCATTGAAACTTCAGTGACATCATAGCTTTCACAAAACCCCACTCCAGCATACAATAAAGAGTGCTTCATATTGAAAATATCCCCAAAGGTTACACAAATAACTACGTGCACACATGTGTGCACGCAGACTTGTGTGTTTTTAATTGATGCTTTCCTCCTGTGACAGCTGTTAAAGTTCTCTTTGGTTAATCTCTTGTCTTTTCATCTCAAAAAGTTCTTCTCCTGATTTTACCCCCTAATGGGGCAACAAAGAAATCTGTATGGTCTTGCAGCCAAGGCAAAGTGGGGCAAAATAGTCTGGAATTAAACAGAATACACAAATGCACAAATTTCCACACATCATTCTTGAACTAAACAAAAGAGATGAATACAAACTCATCTTACAGAAAAATCATAGCTTAAAAGAAAAAACTCTATGCTTAAAAATGTAAACATATTTGGAAAAGACATTATGTTAATGGCAACGGTATGAAAATGAATTCTTTGAGAAAACAAGACTGTGTTCTGGGGTGGTCTCCCATGAAAATTGACATGGTCATTGAGAAAGATAACCTTTCATTTCTTCAGTAGGACAGAAATTGTCACAATGAATGCATTATGAGGAATGCTCTTGCAAACGCTAACTCTTTCAAATCTTCTTCCAAGAGGTTAAATATTAACTTTTAATTCAATAAAGCGAGTTTCATAACATGCAGGTTTGCCTTTTCTGAGTACATAAGTACTTTTTCATCAGGATAAGGCCTGCAGGATTTCTTCTTTTCCAACCCTCTAAGGGTGGCAAGAGATATCTCTTATTTTCTAAGAAATATGTTGGTAAGCCTTCCATATGCAACGGAAAAATACTATGTGACAGA